TCGTCCACGTCCACGTCCACGTCCACGTCCTCGTCCAAGTCCACGTCCTCCACGTCCACGTCCATGTCCACGTCCTCCACGTCCACGTCCACGTCCACGTCCACGTCAACGACTACGTCCACGTCCACGTCCACGTCCACATCCTCCACGTCCACGACCACGTCCACGTCCAGGTCCTCCACATCCTCCACGTCCACGTCCACGTCCAGGTCCTCCACGTCCACGTCCAAGTCCACGTCCACGTCCACATCGACGCCCACGTCCACGTCCTCCACGTCCACGTCTACGTCCTCCACGTCCAAGTCCACTTCCACATCCACGTCCACGTCCACGACCAGGTCCACGTCCACATCCACGTCCACGTCCACGTTCACGACCACGTCCACGTCCACGTCCAGGTCCACGTCCACGTCCATGTCCACGTCCACGTCCACGTCGTGGACGACCACGTCCACGTCCACGTCCACGACCACGTCCACGACCACGTCAACGTCCACGTCCAAGTCCTCCACGTCCACGTCCAAGTCCTCCACGTCCACGTCCACGTCCACGACCACGTACACCTCCACGTCCACGTCCACGTCCTCCACGTTCACGTCCACGTCCTCCACGTCCATGTCCATGTCCCCGTCCACGTCCACGACCACGTCCACGACCACGTCCACGTCCACGTCCACGTCCACTTCCACGTCCACGTCCTCGTCCACGTCCACGTCCTCCACGTCCACGTCCACGTATTCCACGTCCACGTCCACGTCCACGACCACGTCCACGTCCACGTCCACGACCACGTCCACGTCCACGTCCACGTCCTCCACGTTCATATCCACGTCCTCCACGTCCACGTTTACGTCCACGTCCACGTCCAGGTCCTCCACGTCCACGTCCAAGTCCACATCCACGTCCACGTCCACGTCCACGTGCACGTCCACGTCCACGTCCTGCACGTCCACATCCATGTCCTCCACGTCCACGTCCACGACCACGTCCACGTCCACGTCCACGACCACGTCCACGTCCACGTTCACGACCACGTCCACGTCCACGTCCAGGTCCACGTCCACGTCCACGTCCACGTCCACGACCACGTCCACGTCCACGTCCACGTCCACTTCCACGTCCACGTCCTCGTCCACGTCCACGTCCTCCACGTCCACGTCCACGTATTCCACGTCCACGTCCACGTCCACGACCACGTCCACGTCCACGTCCACGACCACGTCCACGTCCACGTCCACGTCCACGTCCTCCACGTTCATATCCACGTCCTCCACGTCCACGTTTACGTCGACGTCCACGTCCAGGTCCTCCACGTCCACGTCCAAGTCCACATCCACGTCCACGTCCACGTGCACGTCCACGTCCACGTCCTGCACGTCCACATCCATGTCCTCCACGTCCACGTCCACGACCACGTCCACGTCCACGTCCACGACCACGTCCACGTCCACGTTCACGACCACGTCCACGTCCACGTCCAGGTCCACGTCCACGTCCACGTCCATGTCGTGGACGACAACGTCCACGTCCACGTCCACGACCACGTCAAGGACCACGTCCACGTCCAAGTCCACGTCCACGTCCAAGTCCACGTCCTTATCCACGACCACGTACATGTCCACGTCCACGTCCACGACCACGTCCACGTCCACGTCCACGACCACGTCCACGTCCACGTCCACGTCCTCCACGTCCACGTCCTCTACGTCCACGTCCACGTTCACGTCCACGTCCTCGTCCACGTCCACGTCCACGTCCACGTCTAGGTCCTCCACGTCCACGTCCAAGTCCACCTCCACGTCCACATCCACGTCCACGTCCACGTCCTCTACGTCCACATCCACGTCCTCCACGTCCAAGTCCACTTCCACGTCCACGTCCACGACCATGTCCACGTCCACATCCACGTCCACGTCCACGTTCACGACCACGTCCACGTCCACGTCCACGTCCACGTCTATGTCCACGTCCACGTCCATGTCGTGGACGACCACATCCACGTCCTCGTCCACGACCACGTCCAGGACCACGTCCACGTCCTTGTCCAAGTCCTCCACGTCCACGTCCACGTCCACGTCCACGACCACGTACACGTCCACGTCCACGACCACGTACACGTCCACGTCCACGTCCTCCACGTCCACGTCCACATCCTCCACGTCCACGTCCACGTCCCCGTCCACGTCCACGACCACGTCCACGACCACAACCACGTCCACGTCCACGTCCTCGTCCACGTCCACGTCCACGTCCACGTCCACGTCTATGTCCACGTCCACGTCCATGTCGTGGACGACCACATCCACGTCCTCGTCCACGACCACGTCCAGGACCACGTCCACGTCCTTGTCCAAGTCCTCCACGTCCACGTCCACGTCCACGTCCACGACCACGTACACGTCCACGTCCTCCACGTCCACGTCCACATCCTCCACGTCCACGTCCACGTCCCCGTCCACGTCCACGACCACGTCCACGACCACAACCACGTCCACGTCCACGTCCTCGTCCACGTCCACGTCCACGTCCACGTCCACGTCCTCGTCCAAGTCCACGTCCTCCACGTCCACGTCCATGTCCACGTCCTCCACGTCCACGTCCACGTCCACGTCCACGTCAACGACTACGTCCACGTCCACGTCCACGTCCACATCCTCCACGTCCACGACCACGTCCACGTCCAGGTCCTCCACATCCTCCACGTCCACGTCCACGTCCAGGTCCTCCACGTCCACGTCCAAGTCCACGTCCACGTCCACATCGACGCCCACGTCCACGTCCTCCACGTCCACGTCTACGTCCTCCACGTCCAAGTCCACTTCCACATCCACGTCCACGTCCACGACCAGGTCCACGTCCACATCCACGTCCACGTCCACGTTCACGACCACGTCCACGTCCACGTCCAGGTCCACGTCCACGTCCATGTCCACGTCCACGTCCACGTCGTGGACGACCACGTCCACGTCCACGTCCACGACCACGTCCACGACCACGTCAACGTCCACGTCCAAGTCCTCCACGTCCACGTCCAAGTCCTCCACGTCCACGTCCACGTCCACGACCACGTACACCTCCACGTCCACGTCCACGTCCTCCACGTTCACGTCCACGTCCTCCACGTCCATGTCCATGTCCCCGTCCACGTCCACGACCACGTCCACGACCACGTCCACGTCCACGTCCACTTCCACGTCCACGTCCTCGTCCACGTCCACGTCCTCCACGTCCACGTCCACGTATTCCACGTCCACGTCCACGTCCACGACCACGTCCACGTCCACGTCCACGACCACGTCCACGTCCACGTCCACGTCCACGTCCTCCACGTTCATATCCACGTCCTCCACGTCCACGTTTACGTCCACGTCCACGTCCAGGTCCTCCACGTCCACGTCCAAGTCCACATCCACGTCCACGTCCACGTCCACGTGCACGTCCACGTCCACGTCCTGCACGTCCACATCCATGTCCTCCACGTCCACGTCCACGACCACGTCCACGTCCACGTCCACGACCACGTCCACGTCCACGTTCACGACCACGTCCACGTCCACGTCCAGGTCCACGTCCACGTCCACGTCCATGTCGTGGACGACAACGTCCACGTCCACGTCCACGACCACGTCAAGGACCACGTCCACGTCCAAGTCCACGTCCACGTCCAAGTCCACGTCCTTATCCACGACCACGTACATGTCCACGTCCACGTCCACGACCACGTCCACGTCCACGTCCACGTCCACGACCACGTCCACGTCCACGTCCACGTCCACGTCCTCCACGTCCACGTCCACGTCCTCTACGTCCACGTCCACGTTCACGTCCACGTCCTCGTCCACGTCCACGTCCACGTCCACGTCCAGGTCCTCCACGTCCACGTCCAAGTCCACGTCCACGTCCACATCCACGTCCACGTCCACGTCCTCTACGTCCACGTCCACGTCCTCCACGTCCAAGTCCACTTCCACGTCCACGTCCACGACCATGTCCACGTCCACATCCACGTCCACGTCCACGTTCACGACCACGTCCACGTCCACGTCCACGTCCACGTCCACGTCCACGTCTATGTCCACGTCCACGTCCATGTCGTGGACGACCACATCCACGTCCTCGTCCACGACCACGTCCAGGACCACGTCCACGTCCTTGTCCAAGTCATCCACGTCCACGTCCACGTCCACGTCCACGACCACGTACACGTCCACGTCCACGTCCTCCACGTCCACGTCCACATCCTCCACGTCCACGTCGACGTCCCCGTCCACGTCCACGACCACGTCCACGACCACAACCACGTCCACGTCCACGTCCTCGTCCACGTCCACGTCCACGTCCACGTCCACGTCCTCGTCCAAGTCCACGTCCTCCACGTCCACGTCCATGTCCACGTCCTCCACGTCCACGTCCACGTCCACGTCAACAACTACGTCCACGTCCAGGTCCACGTCCACGTCCACGACCACGTCCACGTCCACGTCCACGTCCTCCACGTTCACATCCACGTCCTCCACGTCCACGTCCACGTCTACGTCCAGGTCCTCCACGTCCACGTCCAAGTCCACATCCACGTCCACATCCACGTCCACGTCCACGTCCTCCACGTCCACGTCCACGTCCTCCACGTCCACGTCCACGTCCTCCACGTCCACGACGTCCACGACCACGTCCACGTCCACGTCCACGACCACGTCCACGACCACGTCAACGTCCACGTCCAAGTCCTCCACGTCCACGTCCACGTCCACGACCACGTACACGCCCACGTCCACGTCCACGTCCTCCACGTCCACGTCCACGTCCTCCATGTCCACGTCCACGTCCCCGTCCGTGTCCACGACCACGTCCACGACCACGTCCACGTCCACGTCCTAGTCCACGTCCACTTCCACGTCCACGTCCTCGTCCACGTCCACGTCCTCCACGTCCACGTCCTCCACGTCCACGTCCACGTCCTCCACGTCCACGACCACGTCCACGTCCACGTCCTAGTCCACGTCCACTTCCACGTCCACGTCCTCGTCCACGTCCACGTCCTCCACGTCCACGTCCACGTCCTCCACGTCCACGTCCACGTCCACGTCCACGTCCACGACCACGTCCACGTTCACGACCACGTCCACGTCCACGTCCATGTCCACGTCCACGTCCATGTCCACGTCCACGTCCATGTCCATGTCGTGGACGACCACATCCACGTCCTCGTCCACGACCACGTCCAGGACCACGTCCACGTCCTTTTCCAAGTCCTCCACGTCCACGTCCACATCCACGTCCACGACCACGTACACGTCCACGTCCATGTCCTCCACGTCCACGTTCACATCCTCCACGTCCACGTCCACGTCCCCGTCCACGTCCACGACCACGTCCACGACCACGTCCACGTCCAGGTCCTCGTCCACGTCCACGTCCACGTCCACGTCCACGTCCACGTCCTCGTCCAAGTCCACATCCTCCACGTCCACGTCCACGTCCACGTCCTCCACGTCCACGTCCACGTCCACGTCAACGACTAGGTCCACGTCCAGGTCCACGTCCACGTCCACGACCACGTCCATGTCCTCCACGTTCACATCCACGTCCTCCACGTCCACGTCCACGTCCACGTCCAGGTCCTCCACGTCCACGTCCAAGTCCACATCCACGTCCACATCCACGTCCACGTCCACGTCCTCCGCGTCCACGTCCACGTCCTCCACGTGCACGTCCATGTCCTCCACGTCCACGACGTCCACGACCACGTCCACGTCCATGTCCACGACCACGTCCACGTCCACGTTCACGACCACGTCCAAGTCCACGTCCACGTCCAGGTCCACGTCCACGTCCACGTCCTCCACGTCCATGCCACGTCCTCCACGTCCACGTCCACGTCCACGTCCACGACCACGTCCACGTCCACATCCAGATCCACGTCCACGACCACGTCCACGTCCACGTCCACGTCCACGTCCACGTTCACGTCCACGTCCTCTACGTCCACGTCCACGTTTACGTCCACGTCCTCGTCCACGTCCACGTCCAGGTCCTCCACGTCCACGTCCAAGTCCACGTCCACGTTCACGTCCACGTCCACGTCCACGTCCTCCACTTCCACGTCCACGTGCTCCACGTCCAAGTCCACTTCCACGTCCACGTCCACGTCCACGACCATGTCCACGTCCACATCCACGTGCACGTCCACGTTCACCACCACGTCCACGTCTACGTCCACGTCCACGTCCAAGTTCACGTCCACGTCCACGTCGTGGACGACCACGTCCACGTCCACGTCCACGACCACGTCCAGCACCACGTCCACGTCCACGTCCAAGTCCTCCACGTCCACGTCCACGTCCACGTCCACGACCACGTACACGTCCACGTCCACGTCCTCCACGTCCACGTCCACGTTCTCCACGTCCACGTCCACGTCCCCGTCCACGTCCACAACCACGTCCACGACCACGTCCACGTCCACGTCCTAGTCCACGTCCACGTCCACGTCCATGTCCACGTCCTCGTCCACGTCCACGTCCTCCACGTCCATGTCCACGTCCTCCACGTCCACGTCCACGTCCACGACCACGTCCACGTCCATGTCCACGTCCACGTCCACGACCACGTCCACGTCCACGTCCTCCACATTCACATCCACGTCCTCCACGTCCACATCCACGTCCACGTCCACGTCCAGGTCCTCCACGTCCACGTCCAAGTCTACATCCACGTCCACATCCATGTCCACGTCCACGTCCACGTCCACGTGCACGTCCACCTCCACTTCCTCCACGTCCACGTCCTCCACGTCCACGTCCACGACCACGTCCACGTCCACGACCACGTCCACGTCCACGTCCAGGTTCACGACCACGTCCACGTCCACGTCTACGTCCACGACCACGTCTACGTCCACATCCAGATCCACGTCCACGACCACGTCCACGTCCACGTCCACGTCCACGTCCTCCACGTCTTCGTCCACGTCCTCTACGTCCACGTCCACGTTCACGTCCACGTCCTCGTCCACGTCCACGTCCAGGTCCTCCACGTCCACGTCCAAGTCCACGTCCACGTTCACGTCCACGTCCACGTCCACGTCCTCCACTTCCACGTCCACGTCCTCCACGTCCAAGTCCACTTCCACGTCCACGTCCATGTCCACGACCATGTCCACTTCCACATCCACGTGCACGTCCACGTTCACGACCACGTCCACGTCTACGTCCACGTCCACGTCCAGGTCCACGTCCACGTCCACGTCCACGTCGTAAACGACCACGTCCACGTCCACGACCACGTCCAGCACCACGTCCACGTCCACGTCCAAGTCCTCCACGTCCACGTCCACGACCACGTACACGTCCACGTCCACGTCCTCCACGTCCACGTCCACGTCCTCCACGTCCACGTCCACGTCCCCGTCCACGTCCACAACCACGTCCACGTCCCCGTCCACGTCCACAACCACGTCCACGACCACGTCCACGTCCACGTCCTAGTCCACGTCCACGTCCACGTCCATGTCCACGTCCTCGTCCTCCACGTCCACGTCCACGCCCTCCACGTCCACGTCCACGTCCACGTCCACGACCACGTCCACGTCCTCGTCCACGTCCACGTCCACGACCACGTCCACGTCCACGTCCACGTCCTCCACGTTCACATCCACGTCCTCCACGTCCACGTCCACGTCCACGTCCACGTCCACGTCCAGGTTCTCCACGTCCACGACCAAGTCCACATCCACGTCCACATCCATGTCCACGTCCATGTCCACGTCCTCGTGCACGTCCACCTCCACGTCCTCCACGTCCACGTCCTCCACGTCCACGTCCACGACCACGTCCACGTCCACGACCACGTCCACGTCCACGTCAAGGTTCACGACCACGTCCACGTCCACGTCCAGGTCCACGTCCAAGTCCACGTCCACGTCGTGGACGACAACGTCCACAACCACGTCCACGACCACGTCCAGGACCACGTCCATGCCACGTCCACGTCCTTGTCCACGACCACGTACACGTCCACGTCCACGTCCACGACCATGTCCACGTCCACGTTTACGTCCAAGTCCACGTCCAGGTCCACGTCCACGTCCACATCCACGTCTATGTTCACGTCCTCCACGTCCAGGTCCACGTACTCCACGTCCACGTCCACGTCCACAACCACGTACACGTCGACGTCCACGTCCACGTCCAAGTCCACGTCCACGTCCACGTCCACGACCACGTCGACGTCCACGTCCACCTCCACGTCCACGTCCACGTCCACGACCACGTCCACGTCCACGTCCACGACCACGTCGACGTCCACGTCCACTTCCACGTCCACGTCCACGTCCACGACCACGTCCACGTCCACGTCCACGTCCACATCCAGGTCCTCCACGTCCACGTCCACGTCCTCCACGTCCACGTCCTCCACGTCCACGTCCAGGTCCTCCACGTCTACGTCCACGTCCAAGTCCACGTCCACATCCACGTCCACGACCACGTACACGTCGACGTCGACGTCCACGTCCAAGTCCACGTCCACGTCCACGTCCACGACCACGTCGACGTCTACGTCCACCTCCACGTCCACGTCCACGTCCACGACCACGTCCACGTCCACGTCCACGTCCACGTCCACGACCACGTCGACGTCCACGTCCACCTCCACGTCCACGTCCACGACCACGTCCACGTCCACGTCCACGTCCAGGTCCTCCACGTCCACGTCCAGGTCGTCCACGTCCACGTTCTCCACGTCCACGTCCAGGTCCTCCACGTCTACGTCCACGTCCAAGTCCACGTCCACGTCCACGTCCACGTCTACGTCGATGTCCACGACCACGTCCACGTCCACGTCCACGACCACGTCCACGTCCACGTCCACGACGTGGACGACCACGTCCACGTCCACGACCACGTCCAGGACCACGTCCACGTCCACGTACACGTCCACCTCGACGTCCACGTCCACGTCCAAGTCCTCCACGTCCACGTCCACATCCATGTCGTGGATGACCACGTCGACGACCACGTCCACGACCACGTCCAGGTCCACGTCCAGGACCACGTCCCATCCACGACCACGTCCACGTCCTCGTCCACGTCCACGACCACGTCCACCTCCACGTCCACGTCCACGTCCACGTCCTCCACGTCCACGTCCACGTCCACGACCACATCCAGGACCACGTCCCTGTCCACGTCCCCGTCCACGTCCACGTCCACGTCCACGACCACGTCCACGTCCACGTCCACGTCCACATCCAAGTCCACGTCCACGTCCACGTCCACGTCCAGGGCCACGTCCACGTCCACGTCCACGTCGTGGACGTCCACGTTCATGTCCACGTTCACGACCACGTCCAGGACCACGTCTACGTCCACGTTCACATCCACGTCCACGTCCACATCCACGTCCACCTCCACGTCCACGTCCACGTCCACGTCCTCCACGTCCACGTCCACGTCCCCCACGTCCACGTCCACGTCCACGTCCACGACCACGTCCACCTCCACGTCCACGTCCTCCACGTCCACGTCCCCCACGTCCACGTCCACGTCCACGACCACGTCCACGTCCACGTCCACCTCCACGCCCACGTCCACGTCCACCTCCACGTCCACGACCACGTCCACGTCCACGTCCTCGTCCTCCACGTCCACGTCCACATCCACGTCCAGGTCCTTCACGTCCACGTCCAAGTCCACGTCCATGTCCACGTCCACGACCACGTCCACGTCGACGTCCACGTCCACGTCCAGGACCACGTCCACTTCCACGTCCACATCCACATCCACGACCACGTCCACGTCCACGTACACGTCCACGTCCACGACCACGTCCACGTCGACATCTACGTCCACGTCCAAGTCCACGACCACGTCCACTTCCACGTCCAGGTCCACGTCAACGTCCACGTCCACGTCCATGTCCACGTCGTGGACGACCACGTCCACGTCCACGTCGTGGACGACCACGTCCACGTCCACGACCAAATCCACGACCACGTCCACGTCCACGTACACGTCGACCTCGACGTCCACGTCCACGTCCACGTCCACGTCCTCCACGTCCACGTCCACGTCCACGTCGTGGACGACCACATCCACGACCACGTCCAGGTCCACGTCCACGTCCACGACCACGTCCAGGTCCACGTCGTGGACGACCACGTCGACGACCACGTCCACGACCACGTCCACGTCCACGTCCAGGACCACGTCCACGTCCACAACCACGTCCACCTCCACCTCCACGTCCACGTCCACGTCCTCCACGTCCACGTCCACGTCCTCGTCTTCGACTACGTCCAGGACCACGTCCCAGTCCACGTCCTCGTCCACGTCCACGTCCACCTCCACGTCCACGACCACGTCCACGTCCACGTCCACGTCCAGGGCCACGTCCACGTCCACGTCCACGTCGTGGACGACCACGTTCACGTCCACGTCCACGACCACGTTCACGTCCACGTTCACGTCCACGTCCACGTCCACCTCCACATCCACGTCCACGTCCACGTCCACGTCCACGTCCACGACCACGTCCAGTCCACGTCCAGGTCCACGTCGAGGTCCACGTCCACGACCACGTCCAGGTCCACGTCCAGGTCCACGTCTACGTCCACTTCTATGTCCAGGTCCACGTCCACGTCCACGTCCTCCACGTCCACGTCCTCCACGTCTACGTCCACGACCATGTCCATGTCCACGTCCACGTCCATGTCCACGACCACGTCCATGTCCACGTCCACGACCACGTCCACTTCCACGTCCACGTCCATGTCCACGACCATGTCCACTTCCACATCCACGTGCACGTCCACGTTCACGACCACGTCCACGTCTACGTCCACGTCCACGTCCAGGTCCACGTCCACGTCCACGTCCACGTCGTAAACGACCACGTCCACGTCCACGACCACGTCCAGCACCACGTCCACGTCCACGTCCAAGTCCTCCACGTCCACGTCCACGACCACGTACACGTCCACGTCCACGTCCTCCACGTCCACGTCCACGTCCTCCACGTCCACGTCCACGTCCCCGTCCACGTCCACAACCACGTCCACGTCCCCGTCCACGTCCACAACCACGTCCACGACCACGTCCACGTCCACGTCCTAGTCCACGTCCACGTCCACGTCCATGTCCACGTCCTCGTCCTCCACGTCCACGTCCACGCCCTCCACGTCCACGTCCACGTCCACGTCCACGACCACGTCCACGTCCTCGTCCACGTCCACGTCCACGACCACGTCCACGTCCACGTCCACGTCCTCCACGTTCACATCCACGTCCTCCACGTCCACGTCCACGTCCACGTCCACGTCCACGTCCAGGTTCTCCACGTCCACGACCAAGTCCACATCCACGTCCACATCCATGTCCACGTCCATGTCCACGTCCTCGTGCACGTCCACCTCCACGTCCTCCACGTCCACGTCCTCCACGTCCACGTCCACGACCACGTCCACGTCCACGACCACGTCCACGTCCACGTCAAGGTTCACGACCACGTCCACGTCCACGTCCAGGTCCACGTCCAAGTCCACGTCCACGTCGTGGACGACAACGTCCACAACCACGTCCACGACCACGTCCAGGACCACGTCCATGCCACGTCCACGTCCTTGTCCACGACCACGTACACGTCCACGTCCACGTCCACGACCATGTCCACGTCCACGTTTACGTCCAAGTCCACGTCCAGGTCCACGTCCACGTCCACATCCACGTCTATGTTCACGTCCTCCACGTCCAGGTCCACGTACTCCACGTCCACGTCCACGTCCACAACCACGTACACGTCGACGTCCACGTCCACGTCCAAGTCCACGTCCACGTCCACGTCCACGACCACGTCGACGTCCACGTCCACCTCCACGTCCACGTCCACGTCCACGACCACGTCCACGTCCACGTCCACGACCACGTCGACGTCCACGTCCACTTCCACGTCCACGTCCACGTCCACGACCACGTCCACGTCCACGTCCACGTCCACATCCAGGTCCTCCACGTCCACGTCCACGTCCTCCACGTCCACGTCCTCCACGTCCACGTCCAGGTCCTCCACGTCTACGTCCACGTCCAAGTCCACGTCCACATCCACGTCCACGACCACGTACACGTCGACGTCGACGTCCACGTCCAAGTCCACGTCCACGTCCACGTCCACGACCACGTCGACGTCTACGTCCACCTCCACGTCCACGTCCACGTCCACGACCACGTCCACGTCCACGTCCACGTCCACGTCCACGACCACGTCGACGTCCACGTCCACCTCCACGTCCACGTCCACGACCACGTCCACGTCCACGTCCACGTCCAGGTCCTCCACGTCCACGTCCAGGTCGTCCACGTCCACGTTCTCCACGTCCACGTCCAGGTCCTCCACGTCTACGTCCACGTCCAAGTCCACGTCCACGTCCACGTCCACGTCTACGTCGATGTCCACGACCACGTCCACGTCCACGTCCACGACCACGTCCACGTCCACGTCCACGACGTGGACGACCACGTCCACGTCCACGACCACGTCCAGGACCACGTCCACGTCCACGTACACGTCCACCTCGACGTCCACGTCCACGTCCAAGTCCTCCACGTCCACGTCCACATCCATGTCGTGGATGACCACGTCGACGACCACGTCCACGACCACGTCCAGGTCCACGTCCAGGACCACGTCCCATCCACGACCACGTCCACGTCCTCGTCCACGTCCACGACCACGTCCACCTCCACGTCCACGTCCACGTCCACGTCCTCCACGTCCACGTCCACGTCCACGACCACATCCAGGACCACGTCCCTGTCCACGTCCCCGTCCACGTCCACGTCCACGTCCACGACCACGTCCACGTCCACGTCCACGTCCACATCCAAGTCCACGTCCACGTCCACGTCCACGTCCAGGGCCACGTCCACGTCCACGTCCACGTCGTGGACGTCCACGTTCATGTCCACGTTCACGACCACGTCCAGGACCACGTCTACGTCCACGTTCACATCCACGTCCACGTCCACATCCACGTCCACCTCCACGTCCACGTCCACGTCCACGTCCTCCACGTCCACGTCCACGTCCCCCACGTCCACGTCCACGTCCACGTCCACGACCACGTCCACCTCCACGTCCACGTCCTCCACGTCCACGTCCCCCACGTCCACGTCCACGTCCACGACCACGTCCACGTCCACGTCCACCTCCACGCCCACGTCCACGTCCACCTCCACGTCCACGACCACGTCCACGTCCACGTCCTCGTCCTCCACGTCCACGTCCACATCCACGTCCAGGTCCTTCACGTCCACGTCCAAGTCCACGTCCATGTCCACGTCCACGACCACGTCCACGTCGACGTCCACGTCCACGTCCAGGACCACGTCCACTTCCACGTCCACATCCACATCCACGACCACGTCCACGTCCACGTACACGTCCACGTCCACGACCACGTCCACGTCGACATCTACGTCCACGTCCAAGTCCACGACCACGTCCACTTCCACGTCCAGGTCCACGTCAACGTCCACGTCCACGTCCATGTCCACGTCGTGGACGACCACGTCCACGTCCACGTCGTGGACGACCACGTCCACGTCCACGACCAAATCCACGACCACGTCCACGTCCACGTACACGTCGACCTCGACGTCCACGTCCACGTCCACGTCCACGTCCTCCACGTCCACGTCCACGTCCACGTCGTGGACGACCACATCCACGACCACGTCCAGGTCCACGTCCACGTCCACGACCACGTCCAGGTCCACGTCGTGGACGACCACGTCGACGACCACGTCCACGACCACGTCCACGTCCACGTCCAGGACCACGTCCACGTCCACAACCACGTCCACCTCCACCTCCACGTCCACGTCCACGTCCTCCACGTCCACGTCCACGTCCTCGTCTTCGACTACGTCCAGGACCACGTCCCAGTCCACGTCCTCGTCCACGTCCACGTCCACCTCCACGTCCACGACCACGTCCACGTCCACGTCCACGTCCAGGGCCACGTCCACGTCCACGTCCACGTCGTGGACGACCACGTTCACGTCCACGTCCACGACCACGTTCACGTCCACGTTCACGTCCACGTCCACGTCCACCTCCACATCCACGTCCACGTCCACGTCCACGTCCACGTCCACGACCACGTCCAGTCCACGTCCAGGTCCACGTCGAGGTCCACGTCCACGACCACGTCCAGGTCCACGTCCAGGTCCACGTCTACGTCCACTTCTATGTCCAGGTCCACGTCCACGTCCACGTCCTCCACGTCCACGTCCTCCACGTCTACGTCCACGACCATGTCCATGTCCACGTCCACGTCCATGTCCACGACCACGTCCATGTCCACGTCCACGACCACGTCCACGTCCACGTCCACGTCTAGGTCCATGTCCACGTCCACGTCCACGTCTAGGTCCATGTCCACGTCCACATCCAAGTCTACGTCCACGTCCACGACCACGTCCAGTCCACGACCACGTCCAGTCCACGTCCAGGTCCACGACCACGTCCAGACCACGTCCAAGTCCACGTCCAAGTCTAGGTCCATGTCCACGACCACGTCCACGTCCACATCCACGTCCACGACCACGTCCACGTCCACGTCCACGTCCACGTCCACGTCCACCACCACGTCCACGTCCACGTCCACGTCCACGTCCACGTCCACGTCCACGTCCAAGACCACGTCCACGTCCACGTCCACGACCACGTCCACGTCCACCTCCACGTCCACGTCCACGTCCACGACCACGTCCACGTCTACGTCCAGAACCACGTCCACGACAACGTCCACGTCTACGTCCAGAACCACGTCCTTGACCATGTCCACGTCCACGTCCACGTCCACGTCCAAGTCACGTCCACGACCACGTCCACGTCCACGACCACGTCCACGTCCACGTCCACGTCCAAGTCCACGTCCACGTCCACGACCACGTCCACGTCCACGTCCACGTCCACGTCCACGTCCAAGTCCACGTCCACGACCACGTCCACGTCTACGTCTAGTCCACGTCCACGACCACGTCCACGTCCACGTCCACGACCAAGTCAACGTCCACGTCCACGTCAACGACCACGTCCACGTCCACGTCCACGACCACGTCCACGTCTACGTCCACGACCACGTCCACGTCCACGTCCACGTCCACGTCCACGTCCACGACCACGTCCACGTCCACGACCACGTCCACGACCACGTCCACGTCCACGTCCACGACCACGTCCACGACCACGTCCACGTCCACGTCCACGTCCACATCGAGGTCCACGTCCACGTCCACGTCCACGTCCTCCACGTCCACGTCCACGTCCACGTCCTCCACCTCTACGTCCACGACCACGTCCATGTCCACGTCCACGTCCATGTCCATGACCTCGTCCATGTCCACGTCCACGTCCACGTCCACGTCCACGACCACGTCCACGTCCACGTCCACGACCACGTCCACGTCCACGACCAAGTCCACGTCCACGTCCACGTCCACGTCCACGACCAAGTCCACGTCCACGTCCACGACCACATCCACGACCAAGTCCACGTCGACGTCTACGTCCAGAACCACGTCCTTGACCATGTCCACGTCCACGTCCACGTCCACGTCCAAGTCCACGTCCACGACCACGTTCACGTCCACGACCACGTCCACGTCCACGTCCACGTCCAAGTCCACGTCCACGTCCACGTCCACCTCCACGTCCACGTCCACGTCCACCTCCACGTCCACGACCACGTCCACGTCCACTGTCAAAATTAGAAGGAAGAAAGAGGATTGAACTAGCAAGAATGAGGATACAAATAGCAAACCCTAGAAGGGTTGTACTCGCTATAGAGCACCCCACTACAGGCTAGAACAATAGGATAATATTCTGACACACCCCCATAGCCAAAGTGGGGTGTAATCAGCAGAGTAGGCAAAGCAAAACAAGCTCAGGGTGGATCACAATGTCACCACACATTCTGAGCACAAGTTCAAGAAGAAATAGTTTAGAGTTTACAATTATAAGCAAAGCTAGTGGTAGTCACAACGGGCAAGTGAGGAGGAGGAGGGAGAGTGAGGGGAGAGGAGACAGGAGGCGACGGCTGAAGCTGCAGACACACGGGCAACAGGAGGCAGACTGGCACAGCGGCTACCGGACAGCGCCCAGACTACAGGGGTAACAGGCCCCGCGGCTCAAATAGCGGCGGACGGGCAACGGACCCACGGGCGGCTGGCACAGCTGGCTACGACTGGGCTACCGGGACAGCGCCCCGGACTACAGGTGCTGCTGACGACAAACTGGCAACCTCCGCTCATCCTCCCGCACACAGTCCCACCCCCCTGATACACACCCACTGCTACACCACTAGCTCTACTCCCACGCACCCCCCTAAAACCCTAAACCCCAGTCTCCCACACAACCACCCCCCTCAGCGTCAGCTGCAGCAGTGGGAGACGAAGGAGGAGGAGGAGAAAGGGAGGAAGGCACACCGGCCACCCCCATACCCGCCACCCCACAGCTCGCCCCTCGTCCATGTCCACGACCTCGTCCATGTCCACGTCCACGTCCACGTCCACGACCACGTCCACGTCCACGACCACGTCCACGTCCACGTCCACGTCTACGTCCACGACCACGTCCACGTCCACGTCCACGACCAAGTCCACGACCACGTCCACGTCCACGTCTACGTCCACGTCCACGTCCATGTCCACGACCTCATCCATGTCCACGTCCACGTCCATGTCCACGTCCACGTCCACGTCCACGACCAAGTCCACGTCCACGTCCACGTCCACGTCCACGACCAAGTCCACGTCCACGTCCACGTCCACGTCAACGACCACGTCCACGTCCACGTCCACGTCCACGACCACGTCCACGTCCACGTCCACGTCCACGTCCACGTCCACGTCGAGGACCACGTCCACGTCCACGTCCACGTCCTCCACGTCCACGTCCACGTCCTCCACCTCTACATCCACGACCACGTCCACGTCCACGTCCACCTCCATGTCCACGTCCACCTCCATGTCCACGACCTCGTCCATGTCCACGTCCACGTCCACGTCCACGACCACGTCCACGTCCACGTCCACGACCACGTCCACGACCACGACCACGTCCACCTCCACGTCCACGACCAAGTCCACGTCCACGTCCACGTCAACGACCACGTCCACGTCCACTTCCACGACCACGTCCACGACCACGTCCTCGTCTACGTCCACGTCCACGACCACGTCCACGTCCACGTCCACGTCCACGTCCAAGTCCACGTCCACGTCCACGTCCACGTCCACGTCCACGACCAAGTCCACGTCCACGTCCACGTCCATGTCCACGTCCACGTCCACGACCACGTCCACGTCCACGTCCAGGTCCACGTCCACGTCCACGTCCACGTCGAGGACCACGTCCACGTCCACGTCCACGTCCTCCACGTCCACGTCCACGTCCTCCACCTCTACGTCCACGACCACGTCCACGTCCACGTCCACCTCCATGTCCACGTCCACGTCCACCTCCATGTCCACGACCTCGTCCATGTCCACGTCCACGTCCACGTACACGTCCGCGACCACGTCCACGACCACGACCACGTCCACCTCCACGTCCACGACCAAGTCCACGTCCACGTCCACGTCAAAGACCACGTCCACGTCCACGTCCACTTCCACGACCACGTCCACGACCACGTCCTCGTCCACGTCCACGTCCACGACCACGTCCACGTCCACGTCCACAACCACGTCCACGTCCATGTCTACGACCACGTCCACGTCCACGTCCACGTCCACGTCCACGTCCACGACCAAGTCCACGTCCACGTCCACGTCCACGTCAACGACCACGTCCACGTCCACGTCGACGTCCACGACCACGTCCACGTCCACGTCCACGTCCACGACCACGTCCACGTCCACGTCCACGACCACGTCCACGTCCACGTCCACGACCACGTCCACGTCCACGTCCACGTCCACGACCACGTCCACGTCCACGTCCACGTCCACGACCACGTCCACGTCCACGTCCACGACGACGTCCACGTCCACGTCCACGTCCACGACCACGTCCACGTCCACGACCACTTCCACGTCCACGTCCACGACCACGTCCACGTCCATGTCCACGACCACGTCCACGTCCACGTCCACGTCCATGTCCACGACCTCGTCCATGTCCACGTCCACGTCCACGTCCACGTCCATGACCACGTCCACGTCCACGTCCACGACCACGTCCACGTCCACGTCCACGACCACGTTCACGTCCACGTCCACGACCACGTCCACGACCACGTCCACGTCCACGTCCACGACCACGTCCACGTCCACGACCACGTCCACGTCCACGTCCACGTCCACGTCCACGACCAAGTCGACGTCCACGTCCACGTCCACGTCAACGACCACGTCCACGTTCACGTCCACGTCCACGACCACGTCCACGTCCACGTCGACGTCGACGTCGACGTCCACGTCCACGACCACGTCCACGTTTACGTCCACGTCGACGACCACGTCCACGACCACGTCCACGTCCACGTCCACGTCCACGACCACGTCCACGACCACGTCCACATCCACGTCCACGACCACGTCCACGTCCACGTCCACGTCCACGTCCACGTCCACGACCTCGTCCACGTCCACGTCCACGTCCACGTCCACGACCACGTCCACGTCCACGACCACGTCCACGTCCACGTCCACGACCAAGTCCACGTCCACGTCCACGTCCACGACCACGTCCACGACCACGTCCACGTCCACGTCCACGACCACGTCCACGTCCACGTCCACGTCCACGTCCACGACCTCGTCCACGTCCACGTCCACGTCCACGTCCACGACCACGTCCACGTCCACGACCACGTCCACGTCCACGTCCACGTCCACGTCCACGTCCACGTCCACATCCACGTCCACGTCCACGTCCACGTCCACGTCCACGTCCACGACCTCGTCCACGTCCACGTCCACGTCCACGTCCACGACCACGTCCACGACCTCGTCCACGTCCACGTCCACGTCCACGTCCACGACCACGTCCACGACCACGTCCACATCCACGTCCACGACCACGTCCACGTCCACGTCCACGTCCACGTCCACGACCTCGTCCACGTCCACGTCCACGTCCACGTCCACGACCACGTCCACGTCCACGACCACGTCCACGTCCACGTCCACGACCAAGTCCACGTCCACGTCCACGACCACGTCCACGACCACGTCCACGTCCACGTCCACGACCACGTCCACGTCCACGTCCACGTCCACGTCCACGACCTCGTCCACGTCCACGTCCACGTCCACGTCCACGTCCACGTCCACGTCCACGTCCACGACCACGTCCACGACCACGTCCACGTCCACGTCCACGACCACGTCCACGACCACGTCCACGTCCACGTCCACGACCACGTCCACGTCCACGACCAAGTCCACGTCCACGTCCACATCCACGACCAAGTCCACGTCCACGTCCACGTCCACGTCCACGACCACGTCCACGACCACGTCCACGTCCACGTCCACGACCACGTCCACGTCCACGTCCACGTCCACGTCCACGACCTCGTCCACGTCCACGTCCACGTCCACGTCCACGACCACGTCCACGTCCACGACCACGTCCACGTCCACGTCCACGTTTACGTCCACGTCGACGACCACGTCCACGACCACGTCCACGTCCACGTCCACGTCCACGTCCACGACCACGTCCACATCCACGTCCACGACCACGTCCACGTCCACGTCCACGTCCACGTCCACGACCTCGTCCACGTCCACGTCCACGACCACGTCCACGTCCACGTCCACGTTTACGTCCACGACCACGTCCACGTCCACGTCCACGTCCACGTCCACGACCTCGTCCACGTCCACGTCCACGTCCACGTCCACGACCACGTCCACGTCCACGACCACGTCCACGTCCACGTCCACGACCAAGTCCACGTCCACGTCCACGTCCACGTCCACGACCACGTCCACGACCACGTCCACGTCCACGTCCACGTCGACGACCACGTCCACGTCCACGTCCACGTCCACGTCCACGTCCACGACCTCGTCCACGTCCACGTCTACGTCCACGTCCACATCCACGACCACGTCCACGTCCACGTCCACGACCACGTCCACGTCCACGTCCACGACCAAGTCCACGTCCACGTCCACGTCCACGACCACGTCCACGACCACGTCCACGTCCACGTCCACGACCAAGTCCACGTCCATGTCCACGTCCACATCCACGACCAAGTCCACGTCCACGTCCACGTCCACGTCAACGACCATACCACGTCCACGTCTACGTGGACGTGGACGTGGACTTGGTCGTGGACTTGGTCGTGGACGTGGACGTGGACGTGGACGTGGACGTGGACATGGACTTGGTCGTGGACGTGGACGTGGACTTGGACGTGGACGTGGACGTGGACGTGGACGTGGACGTGGATTTGGTCGTGGACGTGGACGGAGTCGTGGACGTGGACGTGGACGTGGACGTGGTCGTGGACGTGGACGTGGACGTGGTCGTGGACGTGGACGTGGACGTGGTCGTGGACGTGGACGTGGACGTGGACGTGGTCGTGGACGTGGACGTGGACGTGGACATGGACGAGGTCGTGGACGTGGACGTGGTCGTGGACGTGGACGTGGACGTGGACGTGGTCGTGGACGAGGACGTGGACGTGGTCGTGGACGTGGACGTGGACGTGGTCGTGGACGTGGACATGGACGTGGACGTGGACTTGGTCGTGGACATGGACGTGGACGTGGACTTGGTCGTGGACGTGGACGTGGACGTGGACGTGGTCGTGGACGTGGACGTGGTCGTGGACGTGGACGTGGACGTGGTCGTGGACGTAGAGGTGGAGGACGTGGAGGACGTGGACGTGGACGTGGAGGACGTGGACGTGGACGTGGACGTGGACTTCGACGTGGACGTGGACGTGGACGTGGACCTGGACGTGGACGTGGACGTGGTCGTGGACGTGGACGTGGACGTGGACTTGGACTTGGACGTGGACGTGGACGTGGACGTGGACGTGGTCGTGGACGTGGTCGTGGACGTGGACGTGGACGTGGTCGTGGACGTGGTCGTGGACGTGGACGTGGACGTGGTCGTGGACGTGGTCGTGGACGTGGACGTGGACGTGGTCGTGGACGTGGACGTGGACGTGGACGTGGTCGTGGACGTGGACGTGGACGTGGTCGTGGACGTGGACGTGGACGTGGTCGTTGACGTGGACGTGGACGTGGACTTGGTCGTGGACGTGGAGGTGGACGTGGTCGTGGTCGTGGACGTGGACGTGGACGTGGTCGTGGACGTGGTCGTGGACGTGGACGTAGACGTGGACGTGGACGTGGTCGCGGACGTGGACGTGGACGTGGACGTGGACCTGGACGTGGTCGTGGACGTGGACGTGGACGTAGACGTGGTCGTAGACGTGGACGTGGACGTGGACGTGGACTTGGACGTGGACGTGGACGTGGTCGTAGACGTGGACGTGGACGTGGTCGTGGTCGTGGTCGTGGTCGTGGACGTGGACGTGGACGTGGACCTGGACGTGGACGTGGACGTGGACGTGGACCTGGACGTGGACTTGGACGTGGACCTGGACGTGGTCGTGGACGTGGATGTGGACGTGGACTTGGACGTGGACGTGGACGTGGTTGTGGACGTGGACTTGGACGTGGACGTGGACGTGGTCGTGGACGTGGACGTGGACGTGGTCCTGGACGTGGTTGGGGACGTTGATGTGGACGTGAACGTGGACGTGGACCTGGACGTGGTCGTGGACGTGGATGTGGACGGGGACTTGGACGTGGACGTGGACGTGGACGTGGTCGTGGACGTGGTTGTGGACGTGGACGTGGACTTGGACGTGGACGTGGACGTGGACGTGGACGCGGTCGTGGACGTGGACGTGGTCATGGACGTGGACGTGGTCGTGGACGGGGACGTGGACGTGGTCGTGGACGTGGTGGTGGACGGGGACGTGGACGTGGACGTGGTCGTGGACGTGGTCGTGGACGTGGACGTGGATAGTATAAATAGCGGACAGTATAAATAGCGATCATTTCTACTGTTGTCAGCTCAATGATCCTTCATGGTTCGCCAGCTCGGCAGCCCAAAGCCCCTGCTGGTGATCCCTAGTCGGGTGTGAAATTAAGGGGTTTTAAATTATGTAGAACAGGGTGTAGAGTGTTTTCACAGAATACAAATTGCGTGGCGGGATTTGTGCGTGGTAGTAAACGTGGAAACTTATATCCCAATTCGACGTTTTACACCATGCCGTATCGTTCGATAGTGCACCCAAACATCCCAGCCTCCCTTGTCACCACCGCTCGACCATAATTTTCCATGTATCATGGATGGGAAAGCTGAACTTGATGTGCAGCTCCACCAGTTTCTCACTTCAACCATCACATGCAAGATGCTAGTATCACAGTTCGACCAATTGACTCTCTGACCCTGACATGCATGACGTGTCGTTTCGTCCTTTCAAGCCCATATTGCGCCCTTTTCGCCGAATCGCGAGGTGTCGCGTCGCAGCGCAGGACGCGCGCGCTGACATGTCTGTGTCAGGCGGGATGAGATTCGCGCGGGGACGTGAGTCAGAACAGCATGCAGGACAGAGTGCGCGGGGTGCGCGGGGTGCGCGGAGTGCGCGGCACGGCAGCGCCGTCATGCAGGGCAAAGGGACACCCTCCGGATCGCAGGCGCAACGATTTCGCTCAAGACAGCGCCGCCTGAGCGCGAGCATTAGCGAAGATCCGTCTAGCACGATCTGAATCTCTCTAACGGCCCTGAAGCTCTGAGAGTTTGGTGCTTCAATCTGTATCTGCATCTCATGAAAGCACCGCTCGTTCCTGCCGCTCAACTCACTCTCCGGCTCCCCTTCGGATCGCCTGATTGATTATCACCGCGAGGGGTCCGATCGGCGCGTGTGCAGCTAACAAGTTTTTTTGCGAAGCGTCAAGGCGAACGAATCCCTTGGAGTTCCCTGCGGGCCGTTGCTAGCGCGCGGCCAAGGTTGCAGAACGGCGCACACGGAGAGACTCTCCCAGCCGGACCGAATGAGGTACGTCGGTTGGTGATTACCGTTAGTACGTAGGTATAGCGGAACCTCACTATGTGCCTTTTCCCGATGACACGTCCGCGTCTGACACGTCACTATGTGCCTTTTCCCGATCCTCTCGCCTCTCTGTCCCCATGTCGATTACCTTCTTTTTCTCCCTCACGCGGCCTTTTTCCCGCTCGCGCCTTTTCTCCTCCAGATCCCGAACACCCTCAGGGCTGCTCTCTCCGGGTGACTGACGTGTGAGAGTCGACTAAAAGCACGTGTCAAACACCTTCCATTTCCCGCTCATGCTCTTTCCCCCGCACTACCCGATCATCGCCCTCAGGACTGCTCTCTCCGCGTGGCTGACGGGCAGCACAGCACCTCCGGATGGCCAAGCAGGCCATTCTAATCGGCCCAATTCTGCTTATAACGGGGATGGCTCGCCCGCCGTGTCAGTGTCGTGGGAGGACTGGCAGCGCGCGTACGAGCAGGCGCGAGGCGCGGAGGGCAGACAGCAGCAGGAGGGGCATGTGAGAGGCGCGGAGAACAGACAGCGGGACGAGTGTGCGAAAGGATTGGGTGTTGGAAACGGCAGATGCGAGCAGAGCAAAGGCAGTGACAATGGCAGTGGGCGAGGGGAGGGCTGGCAGCGCGTGTGGGACCATGCGAAAAGCGTGGAGGGCAGAAAGCAGGAGGGGCATGGACAGGGCACGGCGCAGGGCAGCAGGGAGAGGGACGAGTGGGGTTGGGTGGGGGGGTTATCAACGCGGCATGGAGAGGGTGGAGGAACGGAGGGGCAGGCACAGGTGGTGGGGAAAGGGCGAGACGTGGGTGGTATGCAGGGGCAGGGGCAGGGGCAGAGGGAGGGGCAGGGAGTGGTTGTGTGTGAGGGCGGGTGGGAGTGGCTGCATCGCCCCTCTGCCCCGCCTGTGTGGGAGATGACTGGTGCTGTGGCGCAGCCTGTGTCTCAGCCTGAGGCACGCAGTGTAAGCACTGGTTACCAGGAAGCACAGGCAGGTGTTGAAGGAGGTGCAGAGGGGTGGAGGAGAACTGGCATGGGTACAGGAGGGGCTGTAGGTAGGGTTGAGAGGATGGGAGGGGAAGGGGAAGGAGACAGTGCAGTGATTGGAGGGAGTGCAGGTGTTGGGGATGCTGGAGGTGGGAGGAGGGGAGGAGGGAGGGGCGTGGTTGGGGCGGTGAGGGAGTGTGTGTCGCTGGATTGGGTGCCGGAGAGGCTTCTAGTAAAGTTCCAGCAGAGAGTGGGGATGTACCGACTCGGATTCAACTTTCAGGTGATCCAACATGAGTTTCTCTGTGCATGCGTACATGCATGATTGTAAGTGCTGCATGATGCCCCACCGTGTTATTCGCTTCAGTGCATGCGTGCGTACACCTGTTGCCACCTGCATATCATCCGTACCACCCCCTCCCCTGTAAGCATTTTCTACTGTGTGTTATGGTGCGAAGCAGGCATAGCAAGCTTGCAGCACGAGCAAAATACCCGAGCAAGCAAAGCTTGGCAATAATCAATGTGACATTGTGCTCTGAAGCACACGATTGTCTTTCTCCCCTTAAGGCCTGTGCTACAAGCATCCCGTTGCCAGCCTCTCCCCTCCCCTTTTTTCCTCCCCTCCCTCCACCCCCACTCCCACTCTCACTCCAACTTCCCCGTCACTCCTTCTTTTCTTTCCCCATCTCCCCCACCGCCATCAGTTCCGCCATTCCCACCACGACCTACCAGTCAACCCCTCTGTCCTCGCAACCCCGGTCTCTCTAGCCGTCTCTGCATCGCCTATCCACACTCTCACCAGCGCCACAGGCTTGAGGGAGAGCCGGCCCCTTATATCCGTCGGTCCCTATCAGGTGAGTCTGTCTTCTTGCGATGCGGCATGATGCAGTGGCGCTGACTGTATCTTGGTATGGCCGGGGACGTCCAGTCTTTATCTGGATGCAATGTTCAGCGTGATGCAATGTCCAGCGTGATGCAATGTCCAGCGTGATGCAATGTCCAGCCTGATGCAATGTCCAGCGTGATGCAATGTCCAGCGTGATGCAATGTCCAGCGTGATGCAATGTCCAGCCTGATGCAATGTCCAGCGTGATGCAATGTCCAGCGTGATGCAATGTCCAGCCTGATGCAATGTCCAGCGTGATGCAATGTCCAGCGTGATGCAATGTCCAGCGTGATGCAATGTCCAGCGTGATGCAATGTCCAGCCTGATGCAATGTTCAGCGTGATGCAATGTCCAGCGTGATGCAATGTCCAGCGTGATGCAATGTCCAGCCTGATGCAATGTCCAGCGTGATGCAATGTCCAGCGTGATGCAATGTCCAGCGTGATGCAATGTCCAGCCTGATGCAATGTCCAGCGTGATGCAATGTTCAGCGTGATGCAATGTCCAGCGTGATGCAATGTCCAGCGTGATGCAATGTCCAGCGTGATGCAATGTCCAGCCTGATGCAATGTCCAGCGTGATGCAATGTCCAGCCTGATGCAATGTCCAGCGTGATGCAATGTCCAGCGTGATGCAATGTCCAGCGTGATGCAATGTCCAGCCTGATGCAATGTCCAGCGTGATGCAATGTCCAGCCTGATGCAATGTCCAGCGTGATGCAATGTTCAGCGTGATGCAATGTCCAGCGTGATGCAATGTCCAGCGTGATGCAATGTCCAGCGTGATGCAATCGTTAGTCCAAGTGGCCTTTTTGTGTGTTAAACTGATTGTCATATTTTTCTTATGCTCATGCGACCCACCCACGCATTTCCCTGCACCTGCATTCCTTTTCACTCTTGCATGGATGTTAATTCCCCATCGCACACAGGCCTACCCCGCAGACATCAGGATCGTTGTCAAGCCATCTGCTCCCTCTCCACCTTCCAAAGCCGCCTCAAAGCGCCCGGCACCCTCCACTGCCAGCCTGGCTACCAGGCTCGCGGGCATGGTGACCCGTGTTGCCCGGGCGGCGGTGGGAGGGGGCAAGGTGCAGGTGATGCCTGTGGCGGGCACGGTGCAGGTGGCATCTGGACGGGTGGGCCTGCTGGGACTGGCTGATGCTAGGGTGAGTGAGGGCTATGGGTTTATGGGTGTATGATGCTGAGTAGGTGTGCTGAGTAAGGTTCTTGTGTGAGGTGAGGTGACGGGTTGGAAACGTGCTGGAAGTTGGTTCCAAGGGTTGGCTGTATGGCAAACTGCCTGGCACCTACCAACACCAGCCCAGCTGCCAGGCTTGCAAGCATGGTGCATCGCCCCGGGCGGCGGTGGGAGGGGACGAGGTGCAGGTGATGCCTGTGGCGGATATTGTGCAGGTGGCATCTGGACGGGTGCGCCTGCTGGGACTGGCCTGCTGGGACTGGCCTGCTGGGACTGGCCTGCTGGGACTGGCTGATGCTAGGGTAAGGACCGTGATTGGATGGGTGTATGCTGTTAATTGGGTGTGATGAGTGAGGTGCTTGTGCGAGGTGACTGGTTGGAAACGTGCTAGAAGTTGGTTCCAAGGGTTTGGTTTTCGATCAATTCTTACGGACCTTCCTTCTTCCTATCTCCCATTCCCCCATGCCCTCTCTCCCAGCTGCATCTCTCCCACCACTGGCCATCCTCCACCTCGCACCTCCGCCTCCTCCTGCACAGCCCCTTCTCTGCTGCCCACACGTGCGCATGCAGGTGGAGCAGCACTCGGCTCACACGGCCGCACAGCCATTCCAGCAGCGCTCGTGGCAGAGAGACTCAACCTTGTGCGAGCAGGGGCGCTGGCTTAGCTGGTGGGAGCGACATGAGCGGCAGTCATGTGGATACGAGCAGCGGCATGAATGTGCATGGCAGTGGGAATGGCACGGGTGGTATGCGTGTGAGTACAGACGGTGAAGCCAGGGAAGGTGGTCTGTGGAGTGCAGGGAGGGGAGAGGTGGAGCAGCAGGGGAGTGGGGCAGCAGGGAGCGGTGGTGGTGTGGTGCAGGTGGCGAGGGCCAAGGCGTGTGTGCCGATGTGGCATGGCATGGATGTCAGACTCACAGGCTCCATGCGGTACTCCATGCCCTGGTGCATCGGGTGAGTGGCACGGTGCATTGGGTGAGTGGCATGGTGCATCGGGTGAGTGGCATGGTGCATCGGGTGAGTGACATGGTGCATCGGGTGAGTGGCATGGTGCATCGGGTGAGTGGCATGGTGCATCGGGTGAGTGGCATGGTGCATTGGGTGAGTGGCATGGTGCATCGGGTGAGTGGCATGGTGCATTGGGTGAGTGGCATGAGTGCCTTAGGTGATAGGTGGAATGATGGAGTGGAATGGTGTGCGTTGGGTGAGTGCTGCATTGGGTAAGCAGAATGGTGCAGGTAACGAGGGCCAAGGCGTGTGTGCCGATGTGGCATGGCATGGATGTCAGGCTCACAGGCTCCATGCGATGCTCCATGCCATGGTGCATCGGGTGAGTGGCACGGTGCATTGGGTGAGTGTCGTCGTGCCTTGGTAAGTTTTGTAGACTCTAGATGGTGCATTGGGTGGGTGGAATGGTGCCCTGGGTGAGTGGCATGGTGCGTCGAGTGAGTGGTGCATTGGGTGAGTGAGTGGCATGAACCCGTAGTGATTTGGGTGAGTGACATTGACTTGCATTGCATTCGATAGTGAGCTGCATGGTGCATTTGCTGTATTTTTAAGGCTCTCGAGGTGAATGGCACGATGCATTGGTTGACTTGCCTACCATGAAGCATTTGCTGAGTGTAATGATTGGAGAAGGGGTCCAACTGACTGGTTTCCTTACATGTGCTTTGCATCTTCCTTTGCATGCAGGACCTTTTCTCACTGGTTTGCCAATTCTTCTCTTGCTACGTCACTGGGCTCCTTCCATATTGCGGTCGACAAAATTGAAGCCATTTTTTCTCTTTTCTGAAGACCTTGGTTGTGAAAATAGAGGTAAATAACTTTGTTCCAACATTTTCAAATTGGATTCGTTTCTTTTGTACGTTGCAATTGTTGGGCTGAAGTGCCCTAGGATCTTTGTAGAGTTTAAGTCTGAGTAGAATTGTAGTAGCGGAAGCGTTTGAATGAAAGTACTTGAACCACCTTGCGCTAGTATGTGAGGGCAAAGTAAGTTGATTAAACAAGCAAATACAAAGGTTTATATAAGGGCGTATTCCTACCGCCTCCTATCAAGAAACCTCCTATCAAGATTGTACATTTTGCCTGGTAAAAGTAGCGAGAGATTTTGGGTTTAGGGAATTTTCCAGTGAGAGCTTGATAGGAGGTTTTCTTGATAGGAGGATAGGAATACGCCCTAAGAGTACAAGGAATACGAATAGATAAGTTAAAACCGTTTTACTGTTGCGATTCGATACAGTGCGACTCGGGCAACTGCTCAATGTCGAGTCAGTTGTGTATCCTTGCTGTCGCGCTCTATTTGTCAAGTCAAAGGTCGCTGACCTTTGACCTTCTCGTAACCTCCAGGCGGTTACCCTAACCTCCGAGGGTTGACTCGCGATGCTTCGATTCGGACTGCTTCGCTAGTGTCCTGAGTTTCGACACGACAGAGGCGCTTAAGACTTATTATTCTCAACACTCCCCTTCGCTTCTGGAGTGTCGCTGATGGTGACGTGGCCTTGTCCGGTCAGCATCATGCAGTACTCGAACTTCTGTTTTCCGAGTTTCTTGGTCAAATAATCGGCTGCCATCTCGGACGTGGGACAGTAGGATAATTCGAGTTTCCTTTTCTCGATCTCGTCCTTCACGAAGAAGTATCGCAGAGCGATATGCTTCGTTCTGTTCGCGAATCCGCTTTTGTTGGCGATGCGAATTGCAGATTGGTTGTCGCAGAATAGGGTGAAGTTGGGTAACTCGGCTAACCTTGCTTCTTCCAGCAGCTCGCGAAGGTAGAGTCCTTCCTTGGTGGCTGAACAGATGGTGATATATTCTGCTTCAGCTGAAGAGAGAGCGATTAGTTCCTGCTTACTCGACTGCCAGGAGATAGGTCCGATAGGCTCGAGACGATAGACGTAGCCAGTGCGAGAGCGCCTGTTATCAGAATCAGGCCCCACGTTATCAGGGCAAAACATCCTGATTACCCTGAATTCAGGATGTAGTTTTAGATTCACCCTGTCATTTCAGAATAGTGTAAATTTTAACCCTGAGGCCTCAGGATGTTTTTATATGAAATACCCTGAACATTCAGAATGCCTGTAGTGTTCTTCTCTGTAGCGTCAGGATGAATGCCGAGGCCTGCCCTGACGCGTTTTTTGGTGGGGGGGAGGGGGGGGGGGGGGGGGGGGGGGGGGTTGAGGGGGGAGTCCCGTGGCAAAATTGTCGGTAACCGTTGAATCAACCATCTAGACATCCAGAAATGGCCCAGGCAGTAGAAAGTTACTTCCGAAGGATGAGGTCTTCGGACCGAGTCCTTCCCCGTGCAGGCAAATCTGCAACTTCAATTTGACTTGCTGTCAACTATTATGAACCCTGAGTGCTTATACTTTTGCCCTGACAGGCCAGGATATTTTTTTGTAGAAGCCCTGAAATTACAGGAAGCCTCCGAAAAGTTGCCCTGACAAATCAGGGCATTTTTTCAGATTCTGGAAAGTTGCCCTGAGGCCTCAGGATGCCCCAAAACCTAGCACAGGCCCTGATCAGAATCGCCGGCATGGTCAGCATCGACGTAGCCGATTAGTTTCGTCGTCGTAGCTTCGCCTTTGTAGTAAGTCAGGCCGATCGTCGGTGTGCTCACGAAGTAGTGTAGTGCGCGATCGAGCTCCGCCAGATGCTTTGCTTCGGATTTCTTGAGATAGGTGGCGAGCTGGCTTGCGGAGTAGGATAGATCCGGGCGACAGGTGACAGCTGCGAAGAGAAGGCAGCCCAGTTTCCTTCGGTAGTCTCGTATTCCGGCAGCTTTGAGTGGAGCGGAATTTCCCTTGTCGTTTCCTGCCGTGTAGCGGTATGGTGTGGCGATGGCGGTAGGTGTGAATGAAAAACGTTTGGCGATGGTGTCGGCGTATTTCTCGGCGCTTAGGTAGATCGCATTTTCTTCTTCGCGGATGTTGAGCCCGAGGTACTGGGTCACGGTAGAAGAGACCGTGAGCGTGAGGTCTTTCTGCAGCTCCCCTTCGAACCAGGTGGTGACGTCGTCGGTGGAGCCGATGTAGAGCAAGTCTTCGACATAGACGATCAGTAGGATGTAGTCTGCGCCTTTGGTGAGGCTGTACATTCCTTGGTCGTGAGGCAGTTGGCGGAATCCGATGCGAGTGAGACGGCTGTGTAGGTGCTGTTGCCACAGTCACGGGGCTTGTTTGATTCCGTAGAGCGATTTCAGTAGTTGGCAGATCTGATTAGGATTTCCGTGAGTGCCGTGTGGGAGTTCGACGAAGATTTCGGCGTCGACGGGTGCGTAGAGGAATGCGTTGGCAACATCGATTTGTCGCAGCTTCTTCTTCTTCATGGCGGCGACGGCGAGAAGGATTCGGAGAGAGGTATGTCGACTGACTGGGGCGAATGTTTCGGTGAAGTCTCGTCCTTGCTCCTGGTCGAATCCACGCACGACCCAGCGTGCTTTGAACTTCTCGATTGTGCCGTCAGCTTTCGTTTTGATGCGGAAGACCCATTTCCCGGTGAGAATGGTCTTGTTCCGTGCCACGCTTGCGGGAACGACCTTCCAGGTGTTGCGTTCCTCTAATGCTTTTAATTCCCTGTCCATGGCTTTACGCCATTTCTCCCTGTGTTCCCCCCCCAGAGCCTGCTGAACCGTCGCAGGCTCTTTAGGAAGCGTGCTGCCTGTGTTCCCGTGGACTGCGGTGACGAGACCAAGGATTTGCAGCCCAGTCTGTGAGTATCGGGGGAGTGTTGTATCCTCTGGATAAGCTGCTTCGTCTCCTGCTTCTGGATCGGGTATGAAATTTGGCCCTATCCTTTCTGCTTCATTTGTGTTGACTGTCGCAGGTGTTACGTAACCGTTGTCGGCGAAGTGATAGAAGACTTCGGCGTTGTTACTGTCGCGAGGATTTTCTTCGTCCATGGGCACGTCGACAGAGCAGTACGGGAGAGGTCCGGCTTCTTCCGATGCGTTGTCGACGTTCTGTTCATCCCAGTCTGCTTCGTCCGCTGCTGAGGCGAAGGCTCGGTCACCACGAAAGCCACCTGTGAGGTCCCGATTCTCTTGCAAGTTGGCGAGGTACGTCTGAAGGGTGAGTCGCTCGTAGAAGATCACATCACGTGCTGCTACTGTTTCCCTTGTGTGGACGTCAAAGATTTTCCACGCGTTGTAATGTTTCTCGATGCCGAGGTGTAGTCCCCACTGTGCCCGTTGTGAAAATCTTCCTGCTCGTGCTTCTGGGGGTCTGTACTGTACCATGCATCCGAAAACTCGTAACATTTTTGTGCTGCCCAGCTTCCCTGTCCACAGCAGATGCGGTGAGGCGTTGTTCGGGAGTGACGACGACGACAACAAGTTGTGCAGCATGACAGCATGGTCCATTGCTGCAGGCCACTAGTGGTTGGGTAGCCGCATGCCACGTAGCAGTTTGCGCAAGCTGTTCTGCAGAGTCCTGTTCATTCTTTCTGCTACTCCTTGCTGCTGATGTGCGTAGGGAAGGGAGAGGAGTTGCTTGATCCCTCTTTCCGCCAGGTACTGCTTGAAGCGCTGAGAGGTGTACTCTCCTCCTCCGTCTGACTGGAAGCTTTTCAGTTGTGTTCCTGATTCCCTCTCTGCTACCGGTAGCCAAGCGGCGAATGCTGCGAGTGCCATGTCGCGGCTGGGTAGGTTGCGATGCCAGACGTATCGAGTGGCGGCGTCGATGAAGGTGATCGTGTAATTGTAGGTGACTTGTCCTGGTTCTCGATTGTAGAGGATGTCGCTGTAAACTTTCTCGAGTGGTGCATATGCAGGTGCGCTCGGGTTGTGGTGAGAGGAAAACGGTCGATGGGGTAAGTCGGCTTCGGGGCAGATGAGGCAAGTCCCTCGTGCACGTTGAAGTTCTCTGCCGTCGAGTAGTAGTAGCGAATCCTTGTCTAGAACTCCTGCTTGTATCGTGTTGTTTAACACCGTATTGCTTGGATGTCCTGTGCGTGCGTGCCAGATGT